TCTTTATACGTTATTTTTATAGATACAAATATTTAAGTAAATGCTCTGTTTACAATAAGTTAATACTACAATACAGTAGTATTAACTACATTTACTGGCCTGAATGTTCAAGAAATTTCATGGAAAATATGTCTTCTGACAGGAATCAAACCTGTATCCTACACGGAACCGTCATATAGCCTGATGTGCTATACCATTTAGCTACAGAGATTATAAATGGTATAGCACATATTTTCAAAGAGATATGTGACATTCAGGCTAGTAAATGTTAATACTGTTTATTATAAACAGAGCATTTATTTAAATATTTGTATCTATGAAAATAACATATAAACAGAAAATATTAAAATAATTGTCAGATTTAATCCATCATTATATATATATATATATATATATATATATATTGTAACCCAGATATAAGAGAGTTGTTGGGACCGGAGAAGAAGTCTCTTATATCGGGGTTTGGTCTATTTTGTTTAGGTAAGTATGGGCTCTAATTTGGGACCAGAGAAAAATCTCTCTTATATCCGGGTTTCTCTTATATCCGGGTTACACTGTATATATGGATGGATGGGAAAATGATACAATTTTTTTTTATATATCAGAATAATTTTAGAAAAATCTGATAAAGTGGAAAAAAATGATTTTGTGTTTTGTCCTTTAGGACTTCAGACTAATGTGATGTGATTATACAATGAAAGAGAGGGGACACTGAAATAAAAAGAAAAAAAAAATTATTTAAAATCAACATAAAAATCACTTTAGTCTAATGAAGTCATAACAGATAAGATTTTTGTCCACTTAGTCATAGATTTTACTTTATAAATATATATTAGTAATGTTTTCACTTGAATGTGCTTCACTGAGCACAACAGGCATTAAAAAGAAACTTGTATCACTTGGTTATTGGGGGGTTTTACAAGATGTTTAAGAAATCTGACCAGAAAGTTGTCATGGGAATAGGAAGAGTGATATCCAAGATCAAGAAGAATTCTTCCCTCAGTTACCATTCAAGTCTCTTCAGTAATAAAAGTATAGCACTATAGTCAATATACATAAACTTTTAACATTTTTCCCTTTTTCAACTCTTTCTCACACCATGACTCATGCAATATTGGGGCACCACCCACATTTTAATTTTTTTTTTTTTTTTTATCTGATAATCACCACACACAACTATAAATGTAGGACTGTAACAACACATGCAGGCATGCACACACGTCCACAAGGTTTCTGTATATAGAAAAATAAAATAAAAAGTTATTGGAAAATAATTGATGTTTTAATCATAATTCATTAAAAAAGGAAAAAGTTATAATTTGCATGCCACAAGGAAACAAAATTATATATATATATATATATATATATATAAAAAACAAGATTTTCCCGACTGGCAACAACCCTGTTCTCTCCCTGACAGATATAAAACACACCGATATTAACCAACAATTTTTTTTTTTTTTTTTAGTGATGGTAGTAGTTGGTAGGGGGAAGTGTAGTGAAGTTAGACATTTTATACAAGTCGTATTTGGAGAGTTAAAATATATGCTATTAATATCAATTCACCTTCTGCCAACAGGGGACACATTTGAAATGCCTGAAAAGCAGAACGAGAAGTTTTCTGATCAAAGTCTAGAGTTAGTGACTTCAATTTAGTGACATACTTACACAAAGTTAAAGACAACAAAGAAGGTTGAACTAAAATGCTTGAACAACATAAAAGAGGTACCACATATGTCGGCGTACAAGGCGACCTTTTAACCTTAACCCCCACCAAAATAGGGGCCGTCTTATACTCCAGGTATAAAATGTGAACCTTAAATCCTGTGGTTTGCCGTAAGTTGTTAGTAGGAGAGATTTTTGACAGTAGTCTAACCCCTTCCTTGGTAACTATCGACACAAAGATTTTCTACCAAAACAACTCGATTCACATTATTATAATAAAATAATAGAAGTATAGTGTAATAAAATTACTCTTACCTTATGTAATATGATTGCACTCATTCAGGCGACCATAATAACCTACCAAAAACACAACACCCACTCATGAGGTATTGTAGATTGTGGTAGTTAATTGACAATATCTCCCCACGGCTTTTTCATTAGAATTTGAGTGAAAAGAAGACGCGTTTACAGAATTTATTTAATTCGTTACATTTAAAAATATGCTTTGGTGGGGAGGGATTTTGTGTATGGCAAATATAGCATGAAGCCTACATTTTAACTTGAAAATCTGGGGTCGGCTTATATGCAAGCATAAATGGTATTAACAATATTCTCAGTTGATGACAGAGTAGTACATAGACACGAGGATAATTTTCCGCTTAAGGCCAACGAACAACTTGCATAATACAGATACAAAAAAGCCAAATAAAATAAACACGGGACCACACCAACAAACAATACTGCATTGTAAGAAACAAGAATTTTTCAGCTGTTGTGAAGGAAAACAAGTTGCAATTCTGTGGGTATCAATACAAAAATTTCATACATAATTAATACTGTAAACCCACATAAGAGAATTCCTACCGCCTCACCTTATTCTAACACATACAGCCAACCAGAAACAAGACTAGCATATCAACTAAAAGCCTGGACCTTAACCCATTGTTAGTGCCCTGAGGGTGTCCGAACCTTCCACAAAATGTTTTTCCTTAACTAGCCAGTTAAATGTTCATGATTAGTCAAATAGCTTTCTGAATATCTCCATCAAATAACTACAAGGAGTTTCTGGTTTTAGCAATAATAGTTGTGTGAATTACAAACCAGTTTATTTGCTTACTGAAAATAAAATAATACCTATTTAAGCAGATTTTAAATTCTAAAAAACTTATAAAAATCATTTTTAAATATTGGCATTGAAATTCAAGTTTACAAAATGAAACCTTTTTAATTTTTATTTATCCTACAAAGCCCAGAAAAAACACAAGATATAACAAGAAAATTGAGAACTAAATTATATATAAGCAATAATTCAAATGGAGTGTCTGAAAAACCCAACAGTACTAATGCAAAGGTAATTCCCTGCATTACTAATGGAGGCTCAAAAATCTGTGATATCATTTTGTTTAAAAATCTCATTGCAATCAAGGATTTCTGTTTATACCAGGTTGGTTCTTGATGGGATTTCAGTGAAGATTAAAATATTAACCAAAATGTGAAAGACCCTACCAAAATGATGAAAAAAAAAAAAAAAAAAAATATTGACAGTAATTTGAGAAAAGTTGTCTGGTCAAGTGAGATCTTCAAGTCACAACAATCACAAGCAATGAGGAATCTAAATTTAACTATTTTGGAAAGACTGAATAACCATGATGCATTGGAGCCTTTCAGAACATAACTGATCATGGCTCTCCACAATTTCTTATCCCTTGTACTCTTTTTTCTTTCAGTTTTTCTACCATTGCTAAGTTTTCCACCATCTATTCTCACAAGCTTGTTACATAAGAGGCTCACCGCTTTCTCCTATCTCTCTTGCCCTCATTAAGTGTCCAAGGAATTTCAGCTGTTTTTTCATGATTCTGAGCATAAGTGTTCTTTCCATTGCTATTTTATGTATTCCTTGTTGTTTACTTGCTATATCCATGGAATTCTCAGTATCCTTCTGTAGAACCACGTTTCTGCTGCCTCATTTTCTCCTTGTCCAGAATTCATTGCCATATAAGAGGATGGATAGCACATAGAAACAAAGAAAAGAGTTCTGCAATACTAACAAAACATTTTTATTTCTCAGTTCCTTGCTTAGCTTTGGGAATGCTTTTATTTTTTATTTTTTTTTTTTTTTACTTGTCCAATGTGTTTTCCGGTCTCGATGTCACATTTTCCATCTACTATCAAGATATGTCCCAGATATTTAAACTTCTGCATCTACTTGATGTTGACATCTGCAATTGATAACTAGCATCTTGGAATTTTTCTCTTACCGAAAACATTATTTTTCCGTCTTCTTGCAGTTGATGGTTAATCCTTTTTTTTTTTCTTTTTTCACTTGCTTTAATCTTGTGAAAGATGCAATAAAGAGCCGAGAAAAAAACACTGATCTGATAAAATATCTTATGATTTGTTTACATCACAAAGACAGCTAAAAAATTACATTTAAAAATATTTTCCAGATAGGACTGCTCCTCAGATTTTTGCCGCAAATAGTGGAATGTCATCTATATCAGTTTCTCTCCCTCTTTTTTTATCAAGAAGGGGTAATTGTCATGAGAAAAATATATATATATTAAATGCCATCACTCTTCAGAATATAGGTGATCATGGCTCTCCAGTTTCCTTTTCTTTATTTTCTGTAAATTTCCTATGGGGGGGGTCCTATTACCTTCTCCACAGGTTGAGATTCAGTTTTTCTTTCTTAGAGATTTGTTGCCAATCAAAGCTAAAGAGCATGGTATACCCTGCTATTTAATCTCCTCACAGAAAAAAAAAAAAAAAAATGGACTCAAGTTTTTTTCCAGAAGGAACTAGTGGGAATGTGAAAGCAAAAGATTAGGTCAGGATTTGAACCCAGCTCACAAGTTCCATTGTTGGTGTTGATTACATGACACTGTGTATACATCCTACCAGCAATATAAAGATCAAATTTTTCTACACTGTAGATGATATTTTTATTATATTACAAATTTAAATTGGTATCATATTAATACAAAAAGAAAACAAAATCATGAAAGACACATTAATGACCGATAAGAATCTACCCTAAAGAAGTAAAGAGACATAGTCAAGATTGGTTAAATTTCATGATTGATCGATTAATTTTCTACTGCTTATCAAGCTTAGAAAATATTTTTAGATTCTACGAGTTTTTTTTGGGTTGGGGGGATAATAATGGTTTAATGATACAAGTCTTACTAATTAACCCATAGCTGGGAGGGAAGCGATGGATACTTTTCCCAATGGTATTCAAAGGTAAGTGCATATAATGAACCCAACTGAAATTGAAATTCTTCTCCATTTAACAATTCCGAGCCATTATCCATTACATCACCTGCACAGTCAAGCTTACAGCCTCTGGTATTCCCAAGAGGTCACCTATCTAAGTACTGACCAGGCTTGACATTGCTTAATATCAATGATCATATGGGAACAGATGTTTGAATGTGACATGGATGTAAGATTGGTCAAATTTCAAAAGAAGCAAAATAGGGATTTAATGACTGGCTTCATCCAAACAGGACATAGTTTTAAAATGTGAAATACAAAACTTATTGCATCCTTCATAGAAAGGCCAATATTAAAGACAGGTTTGAATTAGTTGTGAAATATCCTTGCCTTCATTTTCATGCAATATAAATTGCTCAAAACTGCTGGATTATTAAAATTGCTCAAAAGAAGCAAAACACTACCATTATACAACTGCATAAAAGGCAAAACAGTTGACTATGTTTCAACAAGTAGATTCTTGACAGTAAATGCTGAGCCTGAAACCTATACTGAAAAAATAAAAAATATAAAGAGTAATAAATCTTCAAGATACATATTCATGATCTGATCGGTGTAGACAGAGATTCAGTTCAGTGGAGACATCACAATACAGACATTTAAATTAATTTGGAAGTGTATAAAAGTAAAGAAATAAAAGCATCAACCCTTTGGACAAATATTTAAGACTGGACATGTAAAGTATAATAGGTCAACCATGTCAAAACATAGTGTCCAAGTGCATATAGTGTTTATTTTATTTATTGGGTCCGTATATGAAAAAGTAAACCAATATGCTCCTGTCGTTTAAACAGTTCCCCCCACCCTCCATATATCTAAACTATAATTTTGGAAAGTGAAAATTTCATTGAAATATGTAGGAAAATTCAAAGTTTACATTTCAAATGAAGAAAATATAAAAATTTAAGCAAAATTAAAATATGAACCCCCACCACAAAAAAACAAAAAAGGTATCAAATTAAACTGATGACAGGAGGATATGGTTCATAACTATAATGAAAATGTAAAGCATATATATGTATATGTGTGTGTGTATATATATATATATATATATATATATATATATATATATATATATATATATAGAGAAAGAAGTATGACAAAGTGGAAAAAGCTTTTGTGTGATTCTTTTTTGGGACATCAGACTAAGCTTATGTTTATGCAACTAACTACACACTCACACAAACGAAAAAGAGATGCTGACAATTTCAAATTTAAATATACCCCCCCCTACACATTTTTTTTTTTTTTTTAAATGTGTTTTCAGTATAAAATCTAACCAATTTCATTCAGATTCTCTTTATGTTAACTGGATGCCAATCTACTGTGAATGATCTATGATTAAAGTACTTAGTAAATTGTTTTCTCTCTTAATTACAATATCGTTTTCTGTAAATCAATATTGTGGTCAGTCTCATTATGATGAGCATCTAAAGCATTTAATATGTTGTCATATAAAACTTAGTTTGATGAAGTCCTAAATGATGAAAAGTGTTGAACAAAAACGTTTTCCACTTTGTTATGCTTCTTTCCCATAAAATTGTTCTTGATATATAAAATGTTTATATATTGTTATTCTATATAAAGAATACATATGCATATTTAAGCATTAAAAACAAAGATGGAGTTGAGAAATTAAAATTAATATGAAATATATTATCCTGGAATGTATTTTTTTTCAGTCAGGAGACATGCTAAAACATAAAATTAGGGAGGCACAAAGTCTTTAGAAAACATGCAACTTGAAATAATTGAAAAGTATTAACAACTTAATTCTCCAACTGAACAGTAACAGTTGGTTGATTGATTCATTCATTTTTTTACGGCTCGTCAACCCATTGCAGAAAGAAAGGAAATATTTTTAAATTGTAATTTTTTTTTTTTTGAGATAATGATTTAGTGATTAGTCTTAGCTGGGAGAAAAGAATTTGATAAACAAGAAATTATGTGGACATAAAGTGGGGATCAATTCTGCATTACAATCAATATATAAACTTATCCCTCACTTCGTATCCATGTTAGTTTCTATAGATTTATATTCCAGAGAATGTAAATAAACCTAAAATGACAAGATAAGCCTATGTAGCTAACAAGTATTTGACCGATTCATTCATTCATTTTCTTTGCAGATTGTTTAAAGCCAAAAAAATATATTTAGATAAGGAGTTTTTTTTTTGCTTATTTTTGGAGATAATGATTTAATGATACAAGTTTAACTAATTAACCTATAGATGGGAGGAAGAAAAGTGGATTCATACCTTTCTCCAAAGGTGGTCGCATGTAAGTGAATATAACAAAACTAACTGGAATAGGAACTCAGTTCTCAAATTAACAGTTCTGAGCCATTATCCATTTCACCACCCACACATCCAAGCTTATGGCACCTGGTACTCGCAAGCAATCACCCATCCAGATACTGACCAGGCTCAATGTGAACAAACAGTTGATAATCTAGTCTGTATTTCTATTTTAAGTCACACAAGCAGAAAATGCTACAATGAAAATTATAAGTGGAAATGTGAACACAAATATAAATGCATTTCCAATATCTTGGAATACACAGAACCAATAGTAGTGAGTACAAGACTAGACAATAATGCAACATACTGAGGTTAGAATGATGCTATAATCAAGTGTTAATGAATGAAAACTGTGTCTACATGTACCAACAGTCAGTATAATAATGAATGGTAAAAAGCATTGGAAAGTAATTCACAAGTGGCAAAATCCAAAGCATGTGGTCATGAGAACATAGTTCATGAAAAGGAAATTTTTGTTTTCACTTTTATCCTATTTGACAGAAAACATAAAGCAGCTCCTGAGATTAAAAGAAAAACAAATGAAAGAGATAAACAAATGAGGATCTACTAATGATTTAAAACAAACAGATTTAGAATCAAATGCCTCAGTGTGTCTTGACTAATAACTTTAGACAGCCAACATTACAATCTCTTGAATGTTTTAAATAGCAGTTAGGAATCTATTACTGAACAAGATAGTAATCAGAGCTGAAGCAAAATTAAATTAAAATGAGCGGGTGGAAGGTGAAAAAATAGCACAATATCAAATTTGTCTTTGTATGTGGAGAAATTTGAAGAAAAAATAAAATAAAAAGTATTTAATGATAGAGATTAAAATTGCCTCAGTCAAAAGATGAAGGAAAAAAAAAAAAAAAAAAAAATTAATGTACATTGCAGAATTTGAAAGTGTCATGTTTTTCAAAATAATTTCGGAACAAAAATAAATTTAGATTACGGTAAATGATTTTACATACAATGCAAAACTTTTAACAAAGTTTTTCTATGACATTTCAAAAAAAAAAAAAAAAAAAAAAAAAATTAGAAAAATAAAACAATGAATGCCTAAAAGCATTTTCACAGTAAATAATTAAAAAGAAGATGAAATATGCTCCAATATGGTATGCATATAGGGAAAAAAACAGTTTTTGGAAATAAGTTACCTTAGACCAAAACGTCAATGAGACTATAATGTCATTCTCAAACAAAAAAATAATTGCTTTCTCCCCCACCTCAATTCACAATAATGTTTTCTTTCACAATAAAATTAAAACTTATCTGATTATCATAATTATGTGTTTTTTTTGTTTTTTTTCCTTTGCTTCCCAATATAAATTTGGTAAGAATTTTTTTTTTTTTTTTTTTTAATATGAGAAAAAAATTATTTCTCCACCTCCAAACGTCACTACTGCTATCACCATTTTGTGTAACTGTAATTAATGTTCAGAATAAAAATTATACCTGCAATGCTGAAAACTTTTTTTTATCCAAAATATTACTTATTTTCTCCTCCTAGGAGAGAAAGCCATTTTCAAACATGAACAAATAATTATGCATTTTCCCCCGCCATTTCACAATGACATATTCTTTTGCGATTAAATTAAAACTTATTTTATAATTATGCTTCTTTTTTTATTTTTCTTCCTGACTCTTCCTTTCAAATATAAATTCTGTAAGAATTTTTTTTTTTTGCACGTGTTTGAGAAGAAAAGTTTCTTTTCCTCCACCTCCAAATGTCACTTCCTGTATCACGATTTTGCATAAAGTTTTTCCTGTTATAAATGCTTGGAAATAAAACTTATACCTGAAATGCTAAAAACCTTTATCCAAAATATTACTTAATGTTAATCTCCTTAAAAGGAAAAAAAATAAAAAAAAAATAAAAAATACATTCTTCCCACCAGTGCTCACAGTTTACCAACAATTATCATCAATATTATTTAACAACAGTATTAGGAAGATGGGTGCAAATTACACAGTGAGGATTTCCATGCTTTTTCAAGTACACCCAGTATTTCAGCATCCATTCTTGCAAACCAAAACAACAGTGATGATGATTATTAAAAGAATTCCCATCACAAAACTAGCATAGATGAGCCACACAGCAAACCTACTATCTCTCTGCATCAGACCATACAGCCCTTTTGAGTGGTGCTTCATGGCTTTTGTTGCATAGTGATAAGCAAGAGCACCTGATGGGATGCACAAGAATAAGCTGATGTACGACGCTATGAGAATCCACTGCAAGTGCTTCCAAGGCCTTGGAAGCATTTCTGAAGAGGGCACACGGCGCACCATATGAGGGACGGAGACTGTGGTCTCACGGTATGGGTTATCCAGTGTGTTCTGAAACACTGGTTCAATGGAGAAAGAGCGCATGTCATCAGGAACACTGCTAGACGGCGTGTTCTGGTCAATGAGTGAAGTCACGTCAACCGACATGGCTCCATTGTGAACGTTTAGGTCATTTGAGAAGTCTGTGTCATCATGGATTTCTTTGTGAAGCGGTTGCCGCTCACTGGAATGGTTTCCATTATCACCAGAAGACATGGCGATGGCAATGTTCTGGTCTGCTAAATCTAAGGGGCCACTGCAAAATAGAAAAGATTAGATTAAACCACTGATATTCTGGCAACTAAAGTATAAAAAAAAAAAAAAAAAAAAGCAGCAACAACATAAAAAAAAACACACACACACACACACACTAAAAACAGAACTTTAGAGAAAATTAGAGACGGCATTTGAATTCAAAAATGCCTCTAGTTTAATTAATGATGCCACCAATGATGCAAATAATACGTCAATTTCATGAGATATTTTGTTTTTGCCTTACATTTATTGCCAGCAATGACTTCTCTAGGGACACGTGACAAAATAAAATGATCTCTAAAAATCACAAAAGGGAAGCAAGATGGATATTGGTGAACAATCATATAAACCTTATTCCAATCAGTTAGGCAAAATATGATCATGAAAATTTCTAAATCTAACCCTCAATATTAGTCTGTACCCTTCTCAATCGGCTTTGAAAGAGGGACATGGACACCCACCGATTTGAAGCTCTTACGCAACCTTCATATTAGTACGAAAGTAGCCAAACTCACCTCTTCATCTTTGGATGACTGCCATCCTTGGAAAAGCTACTACATTAGCCCAAAGATGCAATTTTGATGATGGCAGGTCATGAGTGCAGTGGGGATTAGACAAAAATTCCCTGCCAGGATTGTATTTTTCTTTAATCAATTCACCCCAAGCTAGGCAATAATGCCACTAAGACACAAGGGGCTACTGGGAGTGAAAGAGAATGAGAAGATTTTAGAGAGAACCAGAAACCCAATCACTAAGCAGGAAACAAGGGATAAACCTCTACTCCTGTTCTAAAGACCAGGTAGGAGAGTGAACCAGACGTGAGATCAATGATTCCCAACGTGGGGCACATGCATAGGATATGCACCCTTCGGCTTACTATACCAACGGAATAAGGGGGAAATTCGAGAATGAGTTATTAACAGTGAATTGTTTTCTAGTGAGCTCAAATTTCATTTTGCATTATTATTTCGTAAGTAAAATGATCAAAGTATATTACAGAACAAGCTTTCATTCAAATATTTTATATGTCTGCCTTTCTGTTCTCTATCATATGTTTTGAAACTATATATATCTTTAACTGTATTTTCGTTTTTTAATTTTTCTCTTTCATGAATGCCATGGTCTTTGGTGGCTTGTTTAGAGACCAAGTTAATGGCCTTTAAGTTTCGTCACATGAATTGCAGTAAAATTTTGAATATGTAAAATTAACTATTACGGGGGGGGTAACAGAAATACCTGACATTTATCTCTGCATCCACCGAACACGGAATAGCAGGACATAACATATGATTGGTTTAATGTCTATATGCATACAGATGGCCCAAAGACTGATTTCTTATCTGGTCTTTAAGCTATTGTAATTTGCACAGACCTTTGAGTAGTGAAAAGACTGCAGACACTGCCATAGACTTGCCTGAAGGCTTTCAATTTTGCAATTGTAATTCTTCTGTCACCTGTAAGAAGAGAATCAATTTATTTGGACTTGTCCTCATTCCCAGCAGCAGCTAGATTGCTACTGCAGGGTAGGTCATTAATGGCAGTATTTCCCATCTCTCTAGGACTGGCATTAAAACTCCCAACATGCCTTAAGGTATTCCTGGGTATGACAAGCTACATCCGACAGCAAGGCCTCTGATTGGGAGTGGAACCACCTCTTAATTGCTACCGTTTTCAGGTTCACCCTAACCCAGGGTGGTAGCACCTCTTAAGGTCCCAGCTAAGGGCAAATAGAGAAACCCCCAAACAAAAACTAAACACTATAATAGTATAAAAATACATTTTCATAGTAAAGATACCATATATACAAAAAAAATGATCAACAGTACATGTTCATAGTAAAACGCCCAATAATACATATTCATAGTAAAATTAACAAAACATTATCTGTGGCTGAAAGATACAATTATGTTCAAAATATATTTAGTTGAAGCCATAAAATTGTGTTTCAGTTGATATACTGCTGCTAAACTAAATCAAAACAACCACACCTTAAGGAACCCTGAAACAGGGAAGGTCAATTCAAATTTTGCAGAATAAATTAATTTTTTTAAACTGGGGTTACATTGACATCTGCATAAAAAAAAAAAAAAAAAAAAAAAAAATACTTTTACTTTAAAAAAACATTTCTCTTAAATAAAGAATGAATGGATATACATTTGTATACATTTTAAGCAAATATTTTCAATAATCCATAATTGTTGTCTGGCAAAATCATTTATTTTTTAATTTTGTTTCCTTTTTTTTTTTGCAAAAAAGATTTCTTAAAGAATGAACAGTTTTAAATTTTTAACTAAAAAAAAAAAAAAATATATATATATATATATATATATATATATATATATATATATATATATATATATATATATATATATATATATTAAATTTTAAATAAAAGTTGGAAGAGGAAAATATTAAAAACAAGTAACAGTTTAGCAAAAATCTCTGATTTCAAAAAAATACAGAAAATTTAAAAAATACAAAAATATCAAAGGCATAAGCAGTGTTTGAAATATCAAATTCTGATAAAACTGTAAAAAAAAAAAAAAAGAGAGAAGAAGAAGGTGGGGCAATTACAAATGCTTCTAAAATGATGAAAAAAAAATAACAATATTTGACAATTCTCAAGGTCTAAAGGATGATAATCTACAAATTGATTTATATTATGTAGGTCGTTGTCATCATCATCAGACCATCGACTGCTTCAATTGTGAAATGGGGGAGGATCTGAGGGCAGAAGAAACAGACTTTTCTTTTTTCTTTCACATAGTTTGGTGGCAACAATCTCCTCACCAAGCTCTTAACCAACAGCTGAAGACTATGGAATATGGTGTGGGTCACCATTGGTCCATCGAGACACTAGGGACTCAGGTTTTGGATTCAGAGTTGTCCTTCTCCTAGACTGGTTGCCACCCAAGGCTACATGGCCCAGATTGTCCTGCAATTTACCAGTAGCTGTGGGCAAGGAGAGGTGAATTCATAGCATTCCCAAGGGTATTTGCACACAAGTGAATGTAATGTACTTGACTGGAATGCAAACTTGGCTTCCCGATTCCACAATGCATTACTCCACTGTGCCTCTTACTATGTGGGTAAGAGGGCAAGAATTACTTAGAATAAAAGACAGGAAATTGTGGAGGGCTATGATCACTTACATTCTGAAAAGATATGCAACATAAAAGAAATCAGCAGTAAAGATTTTTTTTTTTGATCAATAAATTTTTAAATGCATAAAAAGAACCTGCAAAAAAAAAAAAAAAAAAAAAAAAAAAAAACAACCCCCCACCCCAAAAAAAACATGTGGAACTTATATATACAATCTATTGCTAAAGATGCTGGAAAAATGGTCAGTTCCCCATGCCACTCCAGCTAATACCTCACACCTTGTGCTATCCTCTACCTTTACAAGAGCCGGATCAGGCTGAAAATGGAATACTGCTGCCATATATAGGCAGGAGCTGCCCTGTCTTCACTTTCCAATCTCGATAGTTTAAAAATATCTCCACATCCTTGTAGGTGACGTATTATTTTCCACTCTGCAATCCTTTTCTCAGAGACAAGACATTACAAGTGTCTCACTGTTCTATTGCTATTTCCATGGAGAGTGTTTAGATGAACTACACTCCTTAGTTCCACCAGTCCTAACCTTCACACTTAAGACCTGCCATGCCACACACATTTTAGTGAACTTCATTCCTTTTGTATTCCCCTGGTGAGATGCAAGTTCCATTCAAGCAGCTTCTTTCCGCAAATCACTGGCTTGTAGAAAATCACATTTCTGTTGGAAATAAATTAAGTGAATTCAAAGAATGATTATAACATTTTGGGGCTGTCTTTGAAATTAAAAAAAAAAAATCTGTTTTTCTGTAGTTGGATATCCAGATCTTCAGGCATTTTTTTTTTTGAGGTTGACAGGTCTGAGAAAAGGATTGCCCATACTATATGAAATCAGTAAATACAATAACTTTAAGTGTCTTCATTTATTTTACAAGATAAATAAATATATCAGTGATGCCATACATTAGACAAAGAAAATTAATTTACAAAAAAAAGAAAAAAAAAAAGATCCAACGTTTGACACTATTTCCGAAAGTCAAATACAAATTTTCTTTCCTTACATTCCATTTGTACTTTTTGAACAGACTTGATATTCAGCATCATATATATATATATATATATATATATATATATATATATATATATATATATATATATACATACACACACAGAAATCATTTAGAATAGAAATATGAAATAAAATTTCAAATAGCTTTAAAAAGGGCTGAGTGCAGAGGATTATGGGTCAATGGTTTTTTTATAGAATGAGGTTGAGAGCTTTTTAAAAATAAAAAAATGAATTCAACATTTTCAGGAATAAATTTCAATATATTTTTATTATATTTATAACAAATAAGAGGATTCATAAAAAGAGAAAATAGTTTTGTGTGTACATATATAGCTGAAAGGAGCAAGAAAATAAAAAGGAACATTCATAGGGTTAGTGTGTGTGTGTGTGTGTGTGTGTGTATGTATGCGAGAGATGCAACACATGGCTGGGTGACTAAGTCCCTCTAAAAGAGAAAGCTGAACAAGTATTCTACCAACACATTCTAGAACAGAGAGGGAAAAAAAAGAAGCTATATCCATTCTTTTATAGTCCTGAAACGGTGCCACTTAGCAGGCATTTTGGCAGATTACTTTACCCCAAGCAAGGCAATAAAGCCACTAAGATGCAAAGGCTCACAATGTCAGGGAATATGAGAAAAAGGAAACATTGAGAACAATGAAAGGACTGGTATTAAGACAAACGATAATGATTGATATTGCATTTAAATTTTTGAAGATCAAAGTTGACTGGAAAGCAAAAAGCCATAACAATGTTCCACAAGCAAGAAGTGCAAGAGAAGAAACTTAGTATAGAACTTATGATTAGATCTAGTCATTTCAACTGTAAAATTATGAGT